CGGACAGACAGACAGATATTTGGTCTTTATTAGTATAGATTACATAGATTTGTTGAAATATAATGTGATGCAGCCAGGCCCGAGAATGTGTGTGGCTGTGTGTGTTGTACTAAATAGTCTGCAGCAAGCCATGCAGTCTGGACTATAAACTATGCAAAATCCTGTGCTTGTGTGTTGCAATAGCTTGACTCTGATTGTTTGAACTGTGTTGAACACTTCATCTGGAATTTGGCAAATGAGAGTTGAAAATTGATGAACCTGAAGGTAGGGTGAGTGACTGAGGCCTAGGAATAAAAGAAGCTCTTTAATAATGTGAATATCCTTATAGTACACAGTTGCTTATCATGTGAATTCTAATATATGTATTTGACCCTGCATTCAAAACGATTTCAGAATGGAAGAATAAAAATCCTTGCATTTGATATAGCGCTTTGTCACAAGAGTTTTCTGTAAAAGTGTATGCCTGGGTATTTGTAGGTTAATGCAGCAATCAATTTTTCAACAGCATGTTGTAATTTAATTTCTCAATTGAACTGCCCTCCCTTGCTCTTTCTGAGCTTCACATACATCACGCAACACACTCTTTATCCCCCTTATGGTCTCATGATATTGAAATGAAAGATTATTGCACTGATTCCCAGAGCTCATTGTTTCCTTTGATTGTATGGCTATGAAACTTCTTATCTCCCTCAGTTTTTCCCTTCTCATACAAGCTTCTTGTTTCTCTTGCCCTTACCTACTCTTTCAACCAGCACTAAGGAATTTCTTCACTTAGGCTTCTCAATACAAAAATGAGCAGGCCTGTCTATTGACTCCTTCTGAATCTCCTTCCATTCTATCTCTCCATTGTATTAACTTCTGCATTCACAATTCTTTGGACAGACAGCAACAACTATTATTAATAATAATCCTTGCATTTGATATAGCAGCTTTCACACTGGGAGGACATCACAAAATGCTTCACAAGATACACTGGAAAGTGGTTTAATGACTCATCTGAAGGATGGCCCTTTCAATAATGCAGCACTCCCGCTGCACTGTGATGGAATATCAACTTAGACTTTTTGAGTTCAAAATCCGGAAGTGGAGCTTGAAGCCACAACCTTCTGATTCAGAGGTATGAGTCTGACCAGCTGAGCCACGCCGACACACTAAACAACTGTTTACTGTGATGTGTAGGAAGGCCAGAAAAAGTGTAGGAAAAATATCCCTTCATCTTATTTGATTTCATCCATAAAGAACTGCCATCATAGTATCCAGCTATTTCTTAAATAAGACCAGTTCCCTGCCCACCATCCTTCCTGGAAACCCATCACAGTCATTAATTACCAACAGTGCAAAGTAATACTTCCTGGTATTTGTCTTAAAATTGCCTTTCACAATTCTGAACCTGTTGTTTTGCTGTCTGTATTTGTGTATCTGAAAGTATCATATGAGATGTACATCCACTGAGTAATACATTCACATTACCAAGCCTGCCATATGAGCCTTCATAACTTAAGGGTATTATTAACTAACCCACAGATAATTGAATTCACATCTCTTGAAGAGGTAATTGTCAATTATAACAATCAGTTCTGAAAGGTAAATTTATCCTCAAAATATCAAACAGACCGCTTCAGAAATCAGTAATTCCTTACTCATTCATAATTTAAAGGTAGAATAATTCAAGAATATGTAGGTAAAGCTAATAAATGCTTCAAGCACCCAAAATGTCAAAAAGCCACAAAGTTAGAATTTTCACATTTTATCGTTTTTCATTCAGCATTAATAACACAACTAGATTCAATCTAGTTGTGCTATTAAAACTACCAAAAACATGCCATGCTATTATTTACTATAAATCGTAACAATATTCTGCTGTGTAATTGAGTCAAACTATATAATATATAATAATATATATTATATAATATATAATATATTAAATGTAATATGCTAGACTCTTCTTATTGACTTTACAACTGGATTAAAAGCACAAAGGGCAAACCATAATGTATCAAAGCATCTTTTTTAAATCCAAACCCATACAGCTCATCGTGTAACCATATGTCAAAATGAGAAAATATCAAATGTGCACAATGTGTTCTTAAAATACCACAATAACCACGCTTCACGGTTAGCCATAGAATACAAAATGTGCAATTGTCACACAGTGGTTTAATGGATATTTTTTGCAATGGATTGTATCAAAGATCCTATATTAAATGCTGTGGTAAAGCCCACCAAAGCTACTTTATTTTGGATGAGTATTTTTGAGTACAAGTGCTAAATACTAAAAATAATTCTTATTGTAATTACTCTGGAATTCCCTGCCTCAGTCCCTCCACCTTGCCTCTTCTTTTCCCATCTTTAGATTGCACTTGAAGTCTTTCCTCTTTGACCAAAAGCGCAAAAGTGATTTGTAGGAATCACCGATCCACCAAAAAAGAGTCTACACTGTTCTGCAGTGCGGCATGATTCCTGTGTAGGATAGTTCTTAAAGTAATGCAGTTCTGTATAAGAGCCAGCTTTGCAATCCTTCCTCCTCCATCAACTTCTTGTACAGTATTATCTTAACATGGCAAAAATCATGTGATACTGCTCCTTGTTTACAACGTAAATACAGAGTTAGTACTGCGGTTAGCTCTGGATGAGTGGTAAACATTTAAATACATATTCTTGACACCAGCTTTGAAGGGAATTATCTGGTTTATGTGCCATTCATTCCATGTCTTTATTAAACATGAACATGCTATCTGAAATCGGTGCATAGACTTTGAAATAAGGACATTTAAGAATACATGGGTTTTAGGAGATGAAACCCCACTTAAAATTTAGCTCCCAGTTATTTAAGATCAAATTCTATAACTCTTTGGTAAATTGCTCTGTAAAGATTCTTTATGACTGCAAAATAATTAGCATAAAGCAGTCCTGAGGTTTATAGTTTCACTAATCTTCAGGATAGTGAGTTATTAAAGACAAGGTTCCTTGTTGTCCCTTTCTGGTTATAACTTCAAAAGCAGCCACAAGTAAAGTGCAAATAGCACCACAGTTAATCAACTGAGATTTTCAATGTTAAGATTTTCCCTCTCTGGGAATGGGAGTGAGGATCAAAATAAATGTCTCCTTGGAAAATAAAATCTTGTACTTACTCTGGAGCAAACTTACTATTTATAAATTTCAGGGGAGGATTTTCGTACTGCAGCAACCAATGCAACAGGAAAAACAGGAGAAACGATACTACTTAATGTAAAATTCCTGCACCACACATTTATATGTTGGTGCAGTGTTTAAAATTGGTGTAGTGCTTATACATTGCCACTAGACGTTAATAGCAGTATTTAGGCATGCTGTACAGAATAATACTTACAATGTGACCTAGTAATATCTAGCAGATTCTACACTCCCCCCCCCCACTTTTCTAACAAAAATGTTAGCAGCTATGGTATTGGGATTGAATTCAGCTGGAGATAGCACAGACAAGCAAAGGACTTCATTGCATTGCGTTTAACCACAGACAATCCTGTCTGTCTTCAGCAACCACTTAGTGGACTGGACCAAAGTGGTCTTTATGTAAGGCTAAGTAAGGATTCATTGGTGTGTGTACAATTTCTAAGTGTATATAAAAATACAGGCACAAACAAACCCATAAATCAAACTACAGGTAGTTTTTATAAATAAGATGAATTTACTGCACTAATTAATTTTGTCAGTATATACCAACATCAAATACATGGTAATATTACAAAGAGGGATATTCTAGTTAATTTTATACACAAAAAGCAAACTGCAGAATTGTTACTCCATTTCTCAGATTCGACTTTCCTGCATTTGCAATTGAGAGGAGATCAAATCCTAAGGTAAATGTCTAGCAATTCCCTTGAACCACACTAAACCCTTCTCCATCTGGGAGTCTGGCGGGAATCTATACATGGCCCTACGGAAATTGGTAAACTTAAATTCACTTAGAACTGGCTACTGAAAGGATGTCAAAACACCAACAGGGTTAACAAAAAGAGGGGACGCTGTTGCTTCAGGGAGGTGGTTGCTAAATCGAGGTGGTTTATTATGGAAAATCGGTCAGAACTGTTCGAGGGTGGTTGTTGATAACAGGTGGTTGCTTTAATAGGTTTGACTGCATTTGTTGTTTCTACAGTAAAAGACAGCTATTTATTACGGGCACAGGTTATGTGAACAGCTACAACTCCTTGAGTTTTAAAAATGCCTATTTAAGTCAGGTCAAAGCAGTATCAGTTTTACACAGTTGTTACAAAAATGTAAATTGAGCTTGAGGAATGGTGAGAAAAGACTGAGAGAATGAAGCCTGCAAGATCAGAAACAATTTCTATCTGTATGACTAGAAATAAATTTCAGCTTTGATGGGAAAGAATGGATTCTCACAGGTAAATCACATTTTGACATGTTTAACATGTTTAACCCTTTCAGGACTGCAGCAACATCTGAGGCCCATGGTTAAACCAAACCATGGGAACTTCTCATGTCTAAGGCACAAGATTCTGTTTGATTTACCAAGGTATGGGAAACAGGCAGATAAATGGGACTGAATGGGTTACTCTTTCAAAGGTCCAGCCCAGATACAATGGGTTGAATGGCCTTCTGTGCCATAAATTCCTATTCTTCATCAAACACGAATCAAACATACACTAACACGCTATCTGAAATTTGTATCAAGACTTTAAAATAAGGAAATTTAAGAAAAAGTCAGTCATTCTTTTAACCGTAGGTTTTAGAAGATGATTAAATTTTAATTCCCAGTTATTCAAGATCAAATTCTATATTTCTATGGTTCTTGGGAATTGCAATCTGTGTGCTCTGTATTAATTTTGCAGAAGATTATTTTAGAAGATACATTTGATATAAAACAAGCTTGTTTTTGAGAAGTTTTGCATTTGTCAGTCCTCAAAGGATAAATTGAGCGGTTCTAGATCCATGTGGATGTCTCTACATTAGAAAGTTGGCAAAAACTCAAATATGGATGCCAGTTACAGGTGCATAATTACCTAAGACAATGAAGGGAATTCCTAGGAAGGTAGAGTTGTATTTCCCTCCCATCAAGTTGATGATCCCTGCAGAGGTGAGAGCGGCAAGGCCCATTGTCACCAGACCCAGGAGCCCAAGCCAGGGCTTGCTACGGACACAGTCTTGCATGGAGCAGCACAGCACAGCCAATATCAATACCACCACCAGGCTGGTTATCAGGTACCATTCTGATACTTGACTGGTCTTCTGAAAATCCTCCCTCAAAGTCGATGATGTGAACGGATACAGCTTCAGCTCTTTGTTGGATTTCTGGAAGCTTTCCACAGTTTCACAGAAGGCGGATTCCCATTTCTCCGCAACCAAATCACTTAAAGAGTTGCGGGTTTGAAGGTAGTAGGTGATCTGCACAGCTCTGGCAGATTTAACCCGATCTTTGCTCTGTAACATAACACCTCCAAGCTGATGCCCTATAAACACCTCTTGGCCATCTCTAAGATAGGTATTTGGATAGTTGATGATAATTCCAGTGCGATTCACAGCACGAGCCGCTCTCAGCTCTTCCAGCACTTGAACGATGTCATCCAATGCGCACATTTTATCGTCCTTTAAAATGCACATATGGGCAAAAGAGTAATTGAAGCCCATCATCGGGACTTGGATTCTGGTCACAGAGGAGTGTAACTTGAAAGAAGAAATAAAAAGATTTTGTAGGACTCATTTTTACCAAAAAAGCAACAATTCTACATCATTCCTATACTTTACAGGAATTAATTTCACTTGCATTTATAAGAGTTAAGTAAAACTTCACAACGTGTCAGAAAAACAATTGATTGAAAGTAATTGAGAGTAGTAATCATGATGTAAGCATTACTGATGGCAAAAACATAGTACCAAGGTAAACTCCAGTCATCTCACTAATCTAATTTTATCAGTGCTAATCGTACATGGAGTGGAATGAAGCTTTCTGTTTAGTATTAGTAGCTTAAGATTGCAATCCAGGATAAACAGCTAAACAGAACATTATAGTCTCAGAACACTGCTGTTGTGTTCACTGTCTCATTGTTGGTGTTTTTTTTTAAAAACTGGAACAATAGCACTGTATGTACGATTTCAATTTAGAAGGCACAGTGTATACCTAATTAACCTTGAAAAATTGGCTACTCTTAAGCTTGGAAGCCCAGAAAGCATAGCTAAACAACCAATCTCACAACAACCACTCATTGAGAACATGCCCATTTTTTTCATGGGAAATGAGCATCCCAGGCTACAGAATAAACCAACCATATTACAAACAACTGTATGTAACACAGATGGCTATTCCAGCTGCATGTACTGCACTTATTAAATCCCCCCAAAATTGAACTTGCTAAAGATTTGCTTGTAGGGTAACTAATTTCAAGTGCATAACTTTTACGGGTTCCCAGTTTCCTTTCCTCGCCTACAAATCTTTTACTCACTGAACTCCATCCGAGTCCCTCCTTGACCCGTCTCAAGACTCTCCTCTTCGACTGTGCCTTTGGTCACCCTCCAACCCCGACCCTCCCCACCCTCCACCCCTTCTGATCCCAACCACCAGCTTGGATGTGGATCCCTGACCGTCCAATGCCTTGGGATGTCCTCCTGATGTGAAAGGCACTATACAAATGTAATTTGTTGTTGTTGTTGCTTATTTATGTTTAAGTTAATTTTCTTCCCCCCCCCCACACACACATATACAACTATCAAGATTTGTATACCAATAGACTTTAAAGGAAATCCAGCTGACAACTTGATTGTTTCACATGATTATCCATAGTACATTACAATGACCCCAGTTCACTTTCTCTGTGTTTCAATTGCTGTCTTTGCAAATTATTTGTGAATGGGCTTTAGCTTTGAAATTCCATAAGGAAGTAGTCAATATCTCCCCTATTCATTTAATACTGCAAATTGAATAATAATCAGTTAAATTAACATTGGCAGTTTCTATTGAATAATACAGGCACAAACAACAACAACAACATTACATTTGTATAGTGTCTTTCACGTGGGGAGGACATCCCAACGTGCTGAACAGCATCAAAATAGAGCAAGTCTTCAAAGTTTAAACCCATTGTTGAATCCACTTCCAAATAAAAGTCCAAAATACAGACGGGAGCTAAAGTAATTGTACCAAGTTCACAGAAATGTGTTTTTCTCCAAACATCTTTCATTATGAAGACATTAAAAGCTTTCTGAGAGAAGTCAATCTTGGGAACATGGTTTGTATGGTCACTCCACCGATCTATACTCCCAGACAACAACAACAATTTGCATTTATATAGCGCCCTCACCCTGGGTAGTGTCCCAGAGGGCCTAGTCCCTAGGTCACGGTTCTGAGACTGCCAAAGACGAAAGATGAGTTGAAGTGGTGCATGCAAGTATGCAAAGCACAAATCCTTAAATTATTTTGTAGAATCATGTTTGCATCATGGAGAATATTGGAAAAATAGTCTTATAAATCACAGATGTCATTGTCTACCCTGTATATCCAAAGCTGTGTGGGTGAAATGATGGTGGGGAACTGGGCTATTATTTCAAATATTAAAGAAAATATTGAATCCAACACCTATAAAACAGGTTTTTTGATTAATCTGAATAGCCGTAAACAGTAAAACAGCACAAAGATAACCATTTAAACGGAAAGAAAAATGTAGAGATAATACTTTCTATTGAGAGTACTTAATCTAGACTTCCCTTTTAACTATTGGTAATGTTGATCATTTTATGTCGCCCAAAAAGTGGCCCCAAATTTGATTCCGTTTTTATTACAAAAGTGTAATTATGTCCGTATAAAATATACTGATAGTCAATGACACATCCTTGGAACATGTGTTTTACAACATATTTGTATTTCTTCCTATAAAACGAACTTATGTGTAACTGTGAAAAGAACATATGTCAGTGAGTGAGTGAGTGAGTGAATAAAGGCGGTTGATACAACATGGGTTGTGAATGGGTCAGGATGATGTGGGAGTGAGTGGGGTGGGGGGGGGGGGGGGGGGGTAACTGGCAACAAATGTCAACGTTACGGTACTTGGAAGCAGAGATGTCCAGTTTATTGCATTAAAGAGCACATTCCCATATGCAAGCAGGGGAGATGGTGACAGTTGTCCCCCAGTCGCCATCCTCATTCACACCCAATCACACAACGCACCAGCTGAGCTGACTGGTGAGTGCAACCATTTCCCTGCCCTTTTCAGCACATGCCCCCACCCCACCCCCACCAGCCTCCTCGTCCTGCCCTGTCTGAATGTACGATTGCCCTGAACTGACCAGGAAATGCTTCCCATCTCACAGTCTCGCTTTGCACTCGTCGTTTGCCGGAGATGCTCTGGATCGCATCTGAGTGGATCCTGGCAGCACGTCCATTTAGGGCTGGGTTACTGCTGTGGTACCCGGATCGTACAGAGAGAGAGAGAGAGAAAGAGAGCTGCTCTCTCCATCTCTCTCCATCACTCCCTCTCTCCATCTCTCCCTCTCTCCCAGGTTTGGTCAGGACCAAGCAAGCGCATCCTGCTCGGGAACCAACCCCAGAGCATCCCAACTTACCTGCAAACGGGACAAGCAGCTGGAAATGGCATTGCTCCAGTCATTCTTTCAGCACCAGTCATTCTTCCCATCAGAAAGTATCACCTCGAGATCCTTTCTTTCCCTTTAAAACAACCTTTTGGGGCTGTTTACAGCCATTGAGACTAATCAAGGAAATCTCTTGGTTTTTTTCCCCCTCTACATGTTTGATTCAATATTTCCTTCAATTCTTTCAGCACCACCACTTAGCAAATAAATGAAGCTGCTTAACCGCGATTCCTCCCCCACCCCCCACTCCCCCCCCCTCCCCCCACCCCCATCTCCACCCCTTTAAAACACTGCATAATATAATGTACAATATTATTAGAAATAATAATTTATTAAATCATTTATAAAGTACATTATTTTATAACAATATGGTATGATTAAAAAAATGCATATGATTTTTTAAAAAAAAAATACAGTTTTAAATAATGTATAATAACACGAATAGAAGATGATCTTTGGATAAAACACAAAAAAAAACACTACAACAAAAAAGGCATTCACTGTACGCTGTGGGCTTTGGGGTTAATATTTCTCCCCTTTCCTCACCACCCAACCCCCCCAACCCCCTCCCCTTACTCCCCACCACCACCACTCCTATTAAAATGGATATAATAATAATAATATGAATATGCATATGAATATGAGCCGATCTTTGGACCAAACGCACGACAAAAGAAAAGACCTTCCACGGTTTTGCTGCGAGGCTTAAGGTGCATTATTTCTCCCACTTTCCTCCCCGTTACAATGCAATGGGTGAAAGGCAGCGTGAGGAGGGGAGGGGAGGAGAGGAGAGGAGGAGAGGGGGAGAGGAGGAGAGGGGAGGAGGAGAGGAGAGGAGAGGAGGGGAGAGGAGGAAGGGAGGGAAGGGAGAGGGAGAGGAGGAGAGGGGAGAGGAGGAGAGGGGAGGAGGGGAGAGGAGGAGAGAGGAGACGAGGGGAGAGGAGGAGAGGAGGAGAGGAGGGGAGAGGAAAGGGGGAGGGGAGAGGACAGGAGAAGAGGAGAGGAGGGGAGAGGGGAGAGGAGAAGGGGAGGAGAGGAGAGGAGGGGAGAGAAGGGAGAGGGGAGAGGAGAAGGGAGGGAGGAGAAGAGGAGAGGAGAGGGGAGAGAAGGGAGAGGGGAGAGGAGAAGGGGAGGAGAGGAGAAGAGGAGAGGAGAGGGAAGGGAGAGGAGAGGAGGAGAGGAGGAGAGGGGAGAGAAGGGAGAGGGGAGAGGAGAGAGGAGAGGAGAAGAGGAGAGGAGGGAAAGGGGAGAGGAGAGAAGGAGAGGAGGGGAGAGAGTGAGTGCGTGCGAGTGTGTGTGTGTGTGCAGAGTGATCACCTTCAGGATGAGTTGGGAGTGGTGTGTGTCCAGCAGATTGCCGGCTGCCGGGGGGGAGCCGGTGACGATGATGCGGCCGTACGGTCCCGGGCTCTGCAGGTCCGAGTAGAGCAGGTGTTTGGACGCGTTGACCGGGAAGAGGCTGTTGACCAGGGTGCGCTCGATCTTGGCCAGGCTGTGCCGGGGGGCGAACAGGTACTCCACGTTGTCCTCCACCCGGTAGCGGCTGAAGCTGGCCCCGAACAGGATGGCCAGCAGCACGGGGGCCGAGGCGAAGAAGACCGGGTGGTTCCCGATGAAGAAGCCGAGCCGGTAGAAGCAGGTCTTGAGCCCCCTGTGCAGAAGCTGCCGCAGCATTCTCCAGCCCGGGAGGAGGGTGAGGGCGGTCACACGCGATCTGACGGTCTCCAGTAGCCGGGACCGAACCATCAGCTCTGGCCCGGCACAGGTGTGGGTGGGGGGGTGTGTGTGGGTGGGTGTGTGTGTGTGTGTGGGTGTGGGTGTGTGTGTGTGTGTGGGTGTGTGTGTCCTCCCGCTCCTTCGAACGAAACGAGGTGGAAGAAGAAAAAAATATATATACTTTTCTCTTTTTTTTTTTGGTGGGTGGTGGGTGGGGGTTTGCACACACACACACACACACACACACACTCACACACACTCACGCACTCACACGCACTCACTCGCACACACCACGCACTCACACGCACACGAATAGCGGCTATTTTAATTCAAAGCTTTGCCACCACCACCACCAGCACCAACCACACTAACCACCTCCCACCCATCCGCCCACCCCCCATCATCTCCATCTCCTCCTCCTTCCCCTGCGTGTAGGTCCACATCATTCCTGCTGCTGATGCATGTCTGCCCCCCCCCCCCCCCCCACCCCCCCCACACCACACACACACACACACACACACACAGAGAAAATAACCCACACGATGACTGGCTGCACCGATCTCTCAGAGAGGAAGTGTCCTGGGAGGGAGAATGGATTCATAAAATCCACTTTGTGCTTTTTATTAGATGCTCCATTAGCATCAGCTTTAATCCCCGGCAGGTAAGGCAGGGCAAGGCAAGGCAGGGCAAGGCAAGGCAGAGCAAGGCAAGACAAGGCAAGGCAGGGCAAGGCAGAGCAAGGCAAGGCAAGGCAAGGCAGGGCAAGGCAAGGCAGGGCAAGGCAAGGCAAGGCAGAGCAAGGCAAGGCAAAGGCAGGGCAAGGCAAGGCAGGGCAGAGCAAGGCAAGGCAGAGCAGAGCAGAGCAAGGCAAGGCAAGGCAGGGCAAGGCAGAGCAGAGCAAGGCAAGGCAGGGCAAGGCAAGGCAAGGCAAGGCAGAGCAAGGCAAGGCAGGGCAAGGCAGGGTAAGGCAAGACAGGGCAGGGCAAGGCAAGGCAGGGCAGGGCAGGGCAAGGCAGGGAAAAACCAGAGCAAGGAGCTGGATGGGATGGCGCTATTGGATTGGACTGGAGAGAGTGAGAGAGAGAGTCCGCTGATTCGACGTTACAGCAGATAAAAGAAAGCGTTTGCAACTGATGCACAAAACTGCTGCCGAGACTGCGAGCTGACACTTACTGTGCAAAATAACACACCTGCAAATAGCTACACAGCGAAAGCAGAGCAGGAGGATCCACGGCTCTGGCTGGCTGGCTGGATGGATGGATGGATGGATGGATGGATGGATGGATGGCTGGCTGGCTGCTGGCTGGCTGGCTGGATGGCTGGCTGGCTGCTGGCTGGCTGGCTGCTGGCTGGCTGGCTGGCTGGCTGGCTGGCTGGATGGATGGCTGCTGTTGAGTGAAAGCAAAGCCAGGCTGCCAGCTAACATGCTGCATCGCCCGACTGTACAGTACAGTATACAACAAAGCACAGCAACGGGGGGCTGTGCGCACAGCAACAACAGCAGGTCTCACACACACAGACACACACACACAGCGTATGTGGAGGATGGTCCATTACACAAGGAAGCTGGGGCTTCTCCCTGTTATTTTCTCCTTGGCCCGATTTGCACAAAGTTTAAGACAAGCTCAGCTCAGCACAGCACAGTAGGGCAAAAGAGTCCTGGATGGCAGACGTGATTTCACAGACATTGCACATGTTTTAGACGGACGCTTTGTTTTTAGAAATACATTGCACAGAAACGTGTCTTAACTTGAGCTGAGTCTCTAGTCTCAGGCTGCTTCGGTGTTGAAGGAGTCTTTCTGGATCAGTGTACATCTTTAGGGGATTTCATCCACAAACACAAAGCTCGTGTGAATGCTGTATTAGGTTCCAGTTATTCCATTAATCGAATTAACTCTTGTACTGTACCTCTAAAACGTTTAAGACGTCTAAAAACGTCCTCACAAGTGCTATGTAACTATAAATGTGTTGTTGTGAAGCTGGCACTGAATTGGGTATCTGAATCCTGCATTCTTCTAAATAATTCAACCATGGTGTTCCATGGCAAACGTTTGAATGTCTGAAACAGTATTAAAGCGACTACAATACTTCCTTTGGTCAGCATCTTTAAATCTCTTATTTCATCCAAGTGTCAGCTTTGAGCGGTGGGTAGAACATTTGCCTCTGGACCTGGTCCTTGTGTGTTCATCTATGTCCTGTTGGGACCTTCGAGCTCAGAGTCAAGGTTGACAGTCCAGTGTAGTGCTGGGGGAAGGCTGAATTGCTGGAGGTGCCATTATCAGGATGAGATGTTGAACTGATGTCCTGCCTGATGGCAAATAACCCATTCACGACAGTATTTGAAAAGAGAACAGATTTTCTCCTAGTAACCAGTTGATCTGAGATCCCCAGAGGTTATACTCAGGCTGTATAGTGCGCTGGTCAAGTCACGCTTAGAGTTCCGCATAGGGCCTAGAGGCAGTGCAGAGGGGAGCAATGAGGATGATCCTTAATGTAAAGGAATGACCTATGAGCAAGGATTAGACAAGCTAGGGCTCTTCAGTTTTGAGAGAAGTCTCAGAGGGAACCTCATAGGGATGTATACATATTTAAATGGGTTTGAAAAAGTAAACCCAAAGGCAATACTTTAGGATGATGCATCAAGACAATCAAAGTGGACATCTATTAAGAGTTGTAAAGGTAATTTCAGGACCGATACCATGAATTTTCTCTTTCCTTAGAGGGTAACTAATGACTGGAACAGGTTTCCGGGGAGGGTGGTTGAGGCCAGGACGTGGACTCATCCATCAAGCAGCTTGATGCTGTGATAGAAGGATGGTTGGGTGGGTATTATAGAGGAATGAGATCGGATGGGCCAAAAGGCCAAAGAGCCTTCTTCATTCATACCAAGTATATGATCTGGTGTATTGGCCAGCAATCCTACAATTAAATTGTATCATTCATCATCTGATTGTTTGTGGAACACTCTGGTGTGCAAATTTGCTACTGTGATTGCCACCAATACTGTACTTAATTTTAAATTACTGGTGATTTGAGACTTTTCAACTTCATAGGTTTTACAGTATATCAAATGCAAGAACACTGATACTTTATTTTATGTAAAATAAACTATCTAAATGCAATTTGTTATGGTTGCTGCACAACTATGTTTTTCATCAGCATTAAAACACACTTTCTTTTCTCCATTAATCTTGTGAATTCCGAAGGTAATTTCCGAATCTTTGCAAAGAATGCTTTAATAAGCTTGTTTTGTGGAGGAGGAGGTGGGAAGAAAGCTACAGGTTTTCAATTAAAATTCCCAATGAAAGGAATTCCCAATCTTCCAACATTTAGATACAGAACATGGTAGAATAAGTTAACACACTCTTCTTTTACACATCTAGTTCAGGATTTCAGAGTTTCATCCTGCTTCATCCTGCTTCAGAATGGAATATTGCTTTCCAGGGAGGGCATTGAAAAAAAAGAGAAACTCCATTAAAATAGATCACTTCAGAAGCTCTCTTTACAAATACAATTCACATTGTACTGACAAGTCAGCAGTCATCTGCAATTTTTAGATAAAAATGACGGATTGAATGCCAGGATTAACAAAAAACATCACCACCAACAATAACTTAGCATTTATGTAGCACCCTTCACATGGGTAGTGTCTCAGAGTGCTTAGCAGCACCATTGTTTGATGGGAAGAGAGGAGAGGTAACAAAAGGCAAGATTGGAGAGGAAAATCTTCAGGTATGATTTGAAGTTTGGGCAAAGAGGGGCAAGATGGAGGGATTGAGACTATGAATTCCAGAGATTCAGGGCATAAAGTACGGCTGCCAGTTGTGGAGCAGAGGGGGTGAGGCATGTGCAGAAGACAAGAGCCAGCTGAGTGAAGGCGACAGGTAGAGGAGTGGGGTGTGAGCAGAAACACAGGTTGAAGAAATGATCAATACAAACTTTGATTCCAAAATAAATACATAAAACTATCCTGGTAAATTAAAAAAGGCATAATTTTAAATTGATTTAAAATCTAAATTAAATTAGTATAGAACATGTAATCATGACAGGAGTAGAATTATGCTCTCTACACTGTAAAATATTTTAAAATGTGGAAGGAATTCAAAATAGCAGGATGCAAAGTTTGAAAATACTGCACAAATTATATTTGCCACTGAACTTTTTTAAGATAAATAATTGATAATGCGGTAATGTGGGACAATGCTGTGCACAATTGGCTGCCACGTTTCGCCCACAAATATACAGTCAATTCACTTTACAGTACATTCTGTGAAGCACTTTGAGACGTCTAGAAGATGTGAAAAGCGCTATGTCAAATGCAAGGATTATTATTATTATTATTATTATAATCCGTGCACTTCTCCAAATAACAGCTTGAATGTTCCTCAAAATCAGTACCTGTTGTCACTGGGAATCTTCTCTCAGAATCTCCAAAAAGGTTGTGTACACTGGATCCTGTCATTCCTAGTTAGTCTTTGATTGCATCGTACCCCAAATCATGCAATTTGACAAACGCCCAACTAGCTCATGCAAATTAGATGAGGAGATGCTGTGTGACTTGCTGAGTGTTCCCAGCGACGTCTGTTTTTATTTCAGATTTCCAGCATCTGCAGTATTTTGCCTTTTGTTAAATGAGGAGATAATTGACTTGGCACTAGTACTACAACCATCAAAAAAGCCTGAAACAATTCAAAATAATTTGGTCTGTATACTTACGCCCCTATCCATATATACTCGCTAAATTACTTGCCTCTTGCAGATTAGCAGTTCCATTGGTACACTTATAATTTCTGCTCCATTGAAATGATCAGTGCACAAAAATCCTGTGAATTTTATTCTAATCGTGCCTTGTAAACTTTTGCCTATTAAAAAAAATCTGTAGGAAGTAATGAAGCTAACACTTTTGTTTTATAATAATAATAATAATCCTTGCATTTGATATAGCGCTTTTCACGTCGGGAGGACGTCCCAAAACGCTTTACAGAACACACTGTAAAGTGAATTGACTGTATA